AGGGCCTGAGTGAACTTGTCACCCCAACCCTGTTTAGGCGGTGAGTGGATTTGGCTTGCCTGCGGAGCCTAATGGACCCATTGCGGCTTCAGATGGCTCTCCGGGATCCATTGCCCCCTGGCAGCTCGTTAGATGAGCTAGTCGAGGACTGGCATAGCCAACTCTCGGCAGCCATTGACGAGATCGCTCCCAGACGCCCTCTGCGCCCTCGCACAAGGCTAGCTCCTTGGTATACCCAGGAGCTGAGACTGATGAAGCGAAGGCTCAGACAACTAGAGAGACAGTGGCGGCGGGTTCGTGACAAAGCGTCAAGATCATCCTATCGAATGTTTATGAAGTCATATGAGATGGCAACTAAGGCTGCGAAGAAGGAGTTCTACGCAGCCACAATTGCGTCTGCAAGCTCGTGCCCGGCACAATTGTATAGAACGATTCGGTCTCTAACCACCATGCCTTAGAGCAGTCAAAATGTCAGGGAATTGGATATAGACTGTGAGGCTTTTGTGATCCATTTTGCAGATAGTCTTGCTGCTCCGCCGAGACCTCCCGGCCACACTTGAGACAGTATGCGAACTTGAGGCCCCATGCACGTCTTCTGGTCCCATTCTGGATTGTTTCAGCCCTCTCAGCCTAGAGGAGGTTGACAGATTGATCCCAATTGTACATCGAACCACATACAGCCTTGATCCATGCCCCTCCTGGCTAATTAAAGCTGGCCGCGAGGGGTTGCGAGGCACCCTTAGGGACATTTTCAACAGGTCCCTCTCCGAGGGTCTATTCCCAGGGGCTCTCAAGGAAGCAATGGTCTGCCCTCTCCTAAAAAGCCATCCTTGGACCTGGCCGAATTGGCCAACTATCAACCAGTCTCCAATTTGCCCTATCTGGGCAAATTAGTAGAGGGCAGTGGCGATACAGTTGCAGAGCTTTCTGGATGACACTTCCACGCTGGATCCCTTCCAGTCTGACTTCTGCCCGGGTCATAGGACGGAGACAGCACTGGTCGTCCTTACGGATGACCTCCGGAGGCATCTGGATCGGGGTGGTACGGCAGTGCTGCTGTTGTTAGATCTGTTGGCAGCGTTCAACATGGTCGATCATCAGCTGCTCGCCCACCGCCTCGCCAATGTGGGGATTCGGGGGCTGGCCTTGCAATGGCTTGTCTCCTTTCTCCAAGGTTGGGGACAAAGGGTGGCACTTGGGGAGGAGATGTCCCGAAGGCACTCACTAGTCTGTGGTGTGCCCCAAGAGGCAGTGCTCTCCCCAATGCTTTTTGTTGTTGTTCAGTCACAGTCGACTCCGACTCTTCGCAACCCCATGGACCAGATTTAACATCTATATGCGCCCCCTTCCCCAGATTGCCCAGAGGCATGGGCTTGGGTGTCACCAATATGCGATGACACCCAGCTCTATCTGTTGTTGGGCGGTCAGTCTGGCTCTACCCCAGAAGATCTGGACCGGGCGTTGCAGGACGTGGCAGGATGGCTTAGGTTGAGTCGTCTGAAACTGAATCCGATGAAGATGGAGGTCCTTTGCCTGAATTGGAATGGCTCAGGGTTAGGGGCCCCTCTTCCGGCCTTCGGTGGGGCGCCATTGGTGCCAGCGCTGTGGGTCAGGAGTTTGGGTGTGCTCCTGGATGCTTCCTTGACAATAGAGGCCCAGGTAGCAGCCACTGCCAAGGCAGCCTTTTACCACCTTTGGCTGAGTAGGCAGTTGGTCCCCTTCCTCGAACGCAATGATCTGGCTTCAGTGATCCACGCTATGGTCACCTCGAGGTTAGACTACTGTAATGCTCTCTACATGGGGCTGCCCTTGGGGCAACTTCGGAACCTGCAGCTGGTGCAAAATGCGGCAGCCAGGTTGTTGATGGGTCTCCCCAGGTGGGAGCACATCCAGCCTGTGCTGAAGTCATTGCACTGGCTTCCAATAGCATTCCGGATTTGCTTCAAGGTGCTGGTTTTGACCTTTAAAACCCTAAATCAGTGGTGGTGAACCTATGGCACGGGTGCCAGAGGTGGCACTCAGAGCCCTCTCTGTGGGCACGCATGCCATTGCCCCAGCCAGGCCCAGACCATCATAAAACTGTCGAATTCTCTGCCAAATAAGTAAATTAAAGCATTTGGGATTGCTTTCCTTACTTTGTTTGGATCATCTTAAGTTAATGTATGAGTTGTTTTTTCTAAAGTAAAACCTCAGTATTCAGGTTAAATTGCGGTGTTCGCACTTTGCGATCACTTAAGTGGGTTTTGGGTCGCAGTTTGGGCACTCAGTCTCTAAAAGGTTCGCCATCACTGCCCTAAATGGTCAGGGGCCTGCCTACCTGAGGGACCGCCTTTCCCCATATGTTCCCCCAAGAGCACTGCGGTCTGGAACACAACACTCACTACCTGCTCCCCACCCCCACCCCTGGGCCTAGGGATGCCAGGTTGGCAGTAACCAGGTCCAGGGCATTCTCCCTGGTGGCGGCAATGCTGTGGAATGAGCTCCCCAATGAGATTAGACCTCCAGCAGTTCCGTAGAGCTGTGAAAACTGAGCTGTTTCACCAAGCGTTCAAATAAGAACTGCACCTTACCATAGGATGCTGCCGTATTTACTTAGTTTTACCGTATTTATTGTATTTTATATTTTCAATTAGCTGGTTTTAAATTGTATGTTGTTTTAAACTGTTTGTAAGCCGCCTGAGCTGCTTCAGTGGGAGGGCGGGGAAGAAATCCAATAAATAAATAAATAAATAAATAAATAAACTAATTTGAGAGAAGAAGCTATATGGCTTTGTCAGTGTGAGAGCTGGATT